AGTGTTTATCCTACAGCACCACCAGGGTTCCCTATAGAGTGCAGTTTACTAACACACAGGGTTGCCATGTGCCAGAGCCTTGCTTTTGCAATGTATATACTCCCCACCTTCTGTGGGTAACAACCCCAGATTTTCCTGTGGGGAAGCCTGCCCCCTTCCCATTCATTCTTTTCCCTCTAGCTTGTATGGTTGACTCCACCCCTGTCTGTGGCTCCAGGGAAGGGTGACAACCACCTGGCCACAGAGACTAGCTCAGGAATGGGTGCTCAATTCTGGCCTTCTGCTGGTAGTCTTGAAAAAGCAGTTCTCGTTTTTGAAGGCATTACCCAACAGAGTACGATGGAAGCCGGGAGACAGCCCCAGAACAACGTCAACAAACAACAGAGCTGAGAGACAGAACGAGGAAGCGCCCTGACAGCTGAGACCTGGACCCAGCCACGGTGAAGTCAGGACAGATCTGCCCAGGCGGGAGTTGAGACACTCTATATGGGGAGAAAGCAACTTGAGTTGGGTTTCTGCCACCTGCAAACAAGCACTGTGCCACACACAAAATGGGGTAGAATGAAGGCAACAATGTACCAAGAAAAAAGTTCTATCCCTTTGTGGGCTGGCATTTCCCAGTTAGGTAGCATGCAGGTGATTACATCAGCAAAGATACAAGTTTCAGTAAATCTCCCAGCCTTACCACTAGCCTGGGCAATAAACAGCCATGATGTGCAGGGAAAAAGCACTCAAGGCTTTCGATCTGCCCCACCTAATTCAGAGACCACAGCTCCAGTATTCCACCATGTGAAGGAAGGTTCTTCATTGTTCTTTCCACTGTGCAAGCTGGGAATGCAATGAAGGGTGCTGTGGGGAGAAAAGCATTCCCCACTCTCTGTTCTGGAGTTCTGGTGTGGCACTGTGGGTTAATGAGCCAGACTGCAAAGTCATCTGAACTGCAAGGTCAGCAGTTCGAGCTCACTAGCTGCTCCTCGGAAACCCTATCCAGGGTTGTTATGGGTTGGAGGAGACTCGATGGCACTTGACAACAACTTTCTATTCGGACATCTCAATTCTTCTGAAAACCTCAAACTGCTCTAAAAAATCAGGTCAAATGAAACAAAACCTCCCAGATGCTCTAACGGCATACAAATCATAATAATGCCAATTCTAAATTATTTTAAAAATCATGCTCTCTCTTGTCTACCACACTGTCCTAAGTCAGGGGAGGAGTGGGTCCAGGCCTGTCACTTGACACTGGTTGTTGTGTGCCATTGGGTCCATCCCGACTCAGTGATCTATGTGATAGGGCAGAACTGCCCCAGAGTTTTCATGGCTATAAAGCTTAAGTGCCAGGTCTTCCTCCCGCGGAGCAGCTGGTGGGCTCCAACCTGCAGCAGAATGCTTAACCACTACACCACCAGGATTCCCGTGTCACTGACAGGGTGACCAATCTGTCCTGGTATGCCCTGAAAGTCCCACATACTGGGACACCGCTAAGCACATCAGGAGGGTTGGTCACCCCTTGTGTCAGATAAAGTCAAGGCCAGGTTCATCCTCCAGCCTTTTCCCACAACTGCCCGCCTCCACGTCTACACCACTCCCCCACAAAACAAGGATCTGGGTTACAGCGTCTCCCAGCCCCAGAGCCACTCCTACTGTCCTAGAAGAGTCTGCTCTGGGACTGCCTCCTCCTGAACTTCCCAGCACTTGTCACTCACAGTGCCTGTCTGGAAGGCCTTCTCCCTAACCAGCTGCACTGAGGCTCCCTGGGGAGTGAGGTGCTCTGAACCCATAGCCCAAGAAGCTGACTCTCAGAGGCACAGGAAGCTCACACAAGCCTTGGGGTGGGCACTCAGCTGGTGCGACACTCTTCTTCAAATCACTCTGTGGCCTGTAAAGCCCCACTCCAATCCATCAGTGCCTCTCTTCTCCAGGTTGTATGATGGATTCAGTCCATCTGCCTGCCAGGGCCAAGTAGCTCGTGTTTCCATACAAGCACCCGATGGACATACGACCTAAACAATTAACCTGGGCAGTTCCTGGGATACTGCAAAGGGACCTCAGAACCTTCACCATTCCCTGACTGGCTGGCAAAGATGCCCACCAGTGGGGAGGCTCAGCCAAGTCAGGGGTCTCCCCATATTTACTAATTGAAAGATTTTCTTCAGAAACACAGTGTCAGGGGTGCAGCTCAGAAGTCAGACTGTCTTGGGTCACAGCCTGGCTCTGGCACATTTCAGCTCTTGTCTCTTTGGAGCATGGGACTTAAGCTCTTTGAGCCTTAGTTTCCACATCTGTAAAATGGGAAGGAAAAAAAAAAAAAAAAACTGGTCCTAGAGCTCACAGAGTTGTAAGGACTAAAGGAGATGATGCACAGGAGTGCTGAGCAGAGAACAGACCACTGAGGAAACACAGAAGGCATGAAGAGGGTGTCATGGATTAAACTGAGTCCCCAAAATCTGTGTCAGCTTGGCAGGACCATGATTCTCAGTGATTTGGTAGTTCTGTGGCAATCCACCACGATGTGATCTGATGTGATCAACTAGTAAGAGAAGTAAGGGTAGGATGCTGTTGTTGTTGCTACGTGTCATCAAGGTGGTTTCGACTCATTGCAATCCTAGTTAGAGTTTCCAAGGAGCAGCTAGTGGGTTTGAACCCCTGATTCTCTAGTTAGCATTCCAGTGTTTATCCTGTACACCACCTTGATCTGATGTACAGGAGATTCTCAAGGGTGTGGCATGCAACCCCTTTTATCTTACAAGATAGAAAGGGAGAGAAGTGAGCAGAGAAAGAGGGGGCCACAACCACCCAGAGTTCGGAGTGGAGTGCACCCTTCGGCCTGGGGGGTCCCTGCACTATGAAGCCCCTAGATCCAGGAAGGGGTGATGTCAAGACCCATGGAGAACTCCATGGAATGCTGGGCCTACACATGCTGAAAGGAAACAGGAGCCTTTTCCCAGAGCAGGTGCTCTGAATTCAAACTTTTAGCCTGAACTGTGAGAAAACACATTTCTGTCTGCTAAAGTTACCCCCTTGTGGTCCTTCGGTGATGGCAGTCCTAGAGAGCTGCAACAGAGGGCCAGAGTTAGGCAGAGTGAGGCGACTCGAGGTGTTGGCAGAAGGCCCCACCTCCGCTAGATAACCACCCTCTCCTTCTCAGCCACATCCAGCACTCTAAATTCCTGAAATCCTTCAGCCTCTCCCTTTCCCGTCCAGCTGCCCCACATTTAAGATTCCTGATGCCCTACCGGCTCCCTTCCTAGGTGTCTCTCCATTCCCATGTCTTCTCTCACTACCCCCAAAACCACCACTCACCATACAGTCAGCCCTCCTGTCCCCTCCCGCCCGCCCCCCACTGTTGGAGACCCAGAGACATTTATGAATGTCTGTTCCATGCTGGAAAAGGCGCAGCTGAGAATCAGTGTCTCCTCATAATGACAAGTCCTCGTCTATCATTCCCCTCCTGTGGCCCTGTCCACTCTTTCTCCCTTCCCACTCGTAACCCTGGGAGCTCTCTCTGGACACCAGGCTATTTCGTATCACCCAACGTTCGTCTGCTCCCACTCAGCCCCTTACTCTCCCCTCCCCCAGACACACTACATTTTCCTCCCCAGAGCCACCCCTCCTGGAAGGTATGTTCTACCTTGTCTCTCCTTGAAAACTTTGGTCTCTGCCCACTTGCTGTTTCTCCCCAATTCATTCATTCACTCACTCGCTTTTTCATTCAAGTATTCACTGAGCAACTACTATGTGGATATATACATAGACATACAGCTGTGAATTAAACAGGGAGGAGACAAAAAAAAAAAAACAACCCAGTAAAACTAACAGGGCAATTGCAATGAATGGAAATGCAATGAATAAAATCAAGAAAAAGATCTGACGGGACTGGGGTGGGGGCGGGGGAAGGTTACATTTTAGATAGAGTGGTCTGGGAAGGACTTGCCACGCTAATAAACACAGTTATTGTCATTGATCATCTATTCTTCATCATCATCACTACTCGCTCTGGTCCCCTTACACACTGGGCTAATTCCTCTCCACATACAACACTGCTGAATCCTTGTACAAAGATCAACGTTTCCTAATGGCAGATAGGGAATGAGAAGCTCAGAGAGGTTAAGTACTTTGTCCAAGGTCACCCAGCCATTAAGTGGTGGAGTGAGGAATAGAACAGAAGTCAGTCTGACTGCAAAGCCAGTCTGTTTTCGTATTTTCTGTGCACTCCTGAATTCAAGAAACCTCTTGCCACCTGCCCTCTTCCAGGGCTCCGTTTCTGATTGTTACCCTTTATCCTCCCTCCAGAAAACTGCTTTGTTTGAAAACATTGCCATTTATTGAGCTCATGTAATGTGGCGCTGTGAGTTAATGAGCCAGACTGCAAAGTCGTTTGAACTGTGAGGTTGGCGATTCAAGCTCACCAGCTGCTTCTCGGAAACCCCATACAGGGTCGCTATAGGTCGGAACCCATTCGAAGGCACTTAACAACAAGCCCTCTCAGTTTCACGTGCATTCTCTTATCCAAACCTCAAAACCAGTCTAGGAAGGGAGGGCTGTCACTGTATCCATTTTACAGCTAAGAAAACTGAGGCCTAAATTCACACTTGGAGACTCGAACTCAGATTCGTTCCAATCCAACACACTGGGCCTTTGACCCCTACGCTCTCCAACTGACGAAGTACAACCCCAAGGAAGCTTGGTACTCACTCTCCCCGTTCAGAACGAAGTCCGCACCCAGAAACTGAAAGCTCCTGCCCTTACTTTACACGGGGGTAAACTGAGTCCCTGAGAAGCTAAGCAACGTGCCCAAGGTCACACAGACAAGAGCGTAAGGAGCAGGGTTCGAACCCAGGTGCTCTGACTTCAGAGCTCTCGCTTGTAATCACCACGGTCTTCCCAAGGCGTTCCTCTCCGCCCCCACCTTCGACTCCTAGGGTCCCCGGTCCGGGCTATGTGACCTCAACCCCATGCCCAGCCCGGCGGCCTCCCCCGTGTGAGCCCCTCAACACACTCACTTGAGGTGGTCCAAGGAGTGGATGTTGCGAGAGGACTTGCCATGGCCCCCGCCCACCCAGCTCCGCGAGCGGCCAAACATGTCGGTAGCCCGGCCCCGTCTCTCGCTTCACGGCCTCATGCCCGAACAGAAGAACGGCGGGGTACCCGCAGAGGCAGCTCAAGTGGAGGAGGTAGAGACGGAGGTGGGGGACACAGGGTAAAACACCTTCCTCTCCGGCCCACAGCCCCGTACTGACATTCAGCCGGAACCGGCCGTTCGGCCGCCGCAATTTACGGCGGCCGCCGTGAGGAACACTGGGAAATGCAGTTCTCCCGCGAGGCCCTCGACAACGGGACTCTGAGAACGGACTACAAGGCCCGGTGCGCATCACGCAACTTCAGACGTGATAGCCCTCGTGATGGGGCGGAGCGAGAGGAGGAGAGACCGCGATAGCGTCAGAGTGGGCGGGAATCAGAGGCCAATGGGCAGAGGCCTGAGAGGGGAACCCGTGAGGGCTATAGTGCTGATGCTGATGGTAAAAGTACCTGAGTTGTTGTTGTTAAGTGCCATCGAGTCAGTTCTGACTCATAGCGACCCTGTACAGGGTTTTCAAGGGGCAGTTGGTGGGTTTGAACCCCCGACGTTGTGGATCTCTATCCAGTGATGATCCTATATTGTAGAGCATATGTATGCCCCACTGTACCAAATGCTTACATATATTAAGTTATACATGTAAACAACCCTATGAGTTGTTGATGAGGTGGCTTTGTTAGGTATCATGGAGGTTCTGACCTAGAGACACTAGTGTGGTGCTGTAGGATAAAGCACTGGTCTGCAAGATCAGTTTGCACCACAATGTCAGCAGTTCAAACACCAGCTGCTCCTTGGAAACCCTATACAGGATGCCTATATAAGGAGCTCTGGTAGCGTAGTGGTTACGAATCAGGCTGCGGACCTTAAGGTCAGCAGTCCGAGACTACCAGCTGTTCTGTGGGAGAAAGATGAGGCATTCTGCTCCTGTAAAGATTTACAGCCTCAGAAACCCTGTACAGGGTTGCTATGAGTCAGAACTGACTCCACGGCATATAACCAACCAACATGAGTCGGAACTGACTCAACGGCACTTAACAACATGTACAACAGTACAAAACACTGCCAAGTTCTGTGCCATCCTCATAATGGTTGCTATGTGTGAGTCAATTGTAGTCACCCTTTTCCACTGACCCTCTATCAAGCATGATGTTCTTCTCCAGGGACTGGGCCCCTTCTGGTAACCTGGTCAAACTATGTGGCAAGTCTTGCCATTCTCCCTTTTAAGGAGCATTCTGGCTGTACTCCTTCAAGACAGATTTGTTTGTTCTGGCAAACCTACTACTGCCATCAACTCAACTCTATTCAACTCATCCTGACCCTATATAAGTTTTCCAAAACCGTAACTCTTTTGGGAGCAGACCACCTCATTTTTCTCCCTTGGAGCAGCTGCTAGGTTGGAACTGTCAACTTTCTGTCCCACACCAAATCCACAATGTCACCATAATTCAAATGCATTTATTCATTTTTGTTTTTACTTCTTATTGTGAATATTTACAGAATGTAAACATCAGTTTATATTCAATAAATTATACACTTCATTTCATCTCAATTATTTCAACTCTCTCAATACAACATCACTCATCCCACCTCCTCTCTGCATTTCTTGTTTTGATTTCTCCTTCTTTCCCAGCCCTTTTGAATTGTGACCTTGGGTAAATGCTACACTTTTGATCTTAAATGGTTGGCCATTCCATGGTTGACAACCTCATTGATGTTGTTGCCCCCACATCCACCTCTCTATATAATCGATCTATTGCTTGTCTGAAAATTGAACCAAGGAAGTGACTTCAGCTCCTGACCTGAAGAGTAAGGGTCATAGTCTCTACACCAGTAAGCCTGATCTTTTTTATGCTTTTGAGTTTTGTTCCACATTTTCTCACACTCTCATAGGCCCCTTTCAGAGCAATTGTTAGTGGTAGCTAGGCACCATCTAGTTCTTCTGGTCTCAGGGTCATGGAGACTGATATTGACAACCCCTTAGTGCACTGGACTAAGTGTTTCTAAGCATCTTCAATTTTCATCACTCTTCTTTCCTCCGGACAAAGAACGACCAATAGTTAGTTGCACATTAGATGGCTAATTATAAGCTTTTGCCATGGTTTTATTTGTCCTTCTGGGCTTTTTCTTCTTCCACTTCAATTTTTTTAAAAAATATTTATTGAAAGGATATCAAGCAACAGTGTACAAAACTGAACATCCTGTCCTTCTTGTGGATTTCTCTGGTCTGCACCCAAAATCCAAACCGTTTCCCAAACTATCACATGGGAAGATAAAAAAGAAAGAGAGAGACAGAAGGCTAAGAAGAGTATGTAAATTTCTCTTCTGGATTAGTGTGGGAAATACCAAAGAGGCAAGGCTACCCTGCTCACTGTTCATTCATTCATTTCTACATCTTATAGTTACCAAAGGCTGACTCTGTCCCCACTACCTGTGTGAAGGAAACAATTGGGCTAGGGGCCAATGTTTCCCCCAATGTCCAGTCCAAGGCCTTGGCACATAGTACATGTTCAACAAATACTGGCCGTGATGAGTGAATGAATGTTTGTTCTACCTTTGGCAATTGGAGGAAAGGAAACCAGTGGAGAGTTAATGGTTTTCCCTGTTTTTCATCCAAAGGAGTGACAAGGGAGGGAGAGGGGTTTTCAAGAAGTAGAAAGGAGAAGTTGTGTCCTGCAAACAAACACAAGAGCAGTAACTTTCAGGATTCCTCCATTTGTCTGGATTTTGGTTTTTCTTCTGTACAAATGGGTAACAAACTGACTACACCGCGTCGCCTGACCCCAATTAAACAATGTATATAAAGCTCCCAGCTTAATGAAGCCTGACATTAAAAGGTCGTTGGACTCCTTTTGGAAGCACTTGATTGAAAAAACCGGACTGCTGCTTAAGACAGTTTGCCTATGAGACAGCGAAGGGAAAATTGACATTCTTTTCTCCGTGTAATTCTTGGCTGTTAGAACGTTTAACCACGTGTATTGTTGTTGTTTTTAAACAGGGTTTACAAAATAAAAAACAAAAACAAAGCAGCACCATTGGCTAGTCTGCCCTGCCGAAGGATCTGTTTATCTACGCGACCCCTGTGATGTGGAGCGCTCCAGAGGCCGATCTTCCAAAAGCCAGACTTTGGAAATCTTCGCCAGCAAGAAAAATCAGCGTTTTGGAAAATGCGCAAAATTTTCACAGGAAATGTCCGACGCTCCCATTCCCTCACCTCACCTCCTTTTACACCTGGAGACTGAGTCCCCAGAAAGCGTAGCGCCATACCCAAGTTCATCTAGGTGCAGAAGAAGCCCGCGGTTTCTTTCGTGTTTTTGTAGCCTTAGGATACGTCTAGGTTTGAATTCTGTGCAGTACCTTTCTCCTCTCTCTATTCTCCCGACCCGAACCAGAAAAGCACCCCTACACAGTGCAGGGGGGCGGGGGGAAGAGGGACGGGGCGAAGCGAAGAAGTACCCACCCTCCAGGTCGGCTCGGGCCAATGAGCGCGGGCACTGAGCGAACCAATGAGCGTGGGCAAGGGGCGGGCGGGCCAATGAACGCGGGGCCGCTCCGGAGGCGTCGCTGGGAACGGGACCAGGAGGGCGACGCGGCGGCCGCAGCCATGGGCGCTAAGCCTGTGGGGGTGCGGAGGGGGTGCTCGGAACGCCCGGACCGGGAGGGACAGACGGCAGCCGGGACTGGCCCTCGACGCTGAGCCGCGGTGTGTCCCCGCCGCCACTGCGAGGGCCTTTGAGCGCGCGGGCGCTTTGGAGGAGTTGCGCAGCCGCCAGCCACTTCGGGGGACCGTCGGGAGGGTTGTGTGGCACCTGTGGGGCCGTGACCCCGCCGAGCCCAGTGCCGCGTCGGTCGAGCCCCGTCCGCCCCTGGATGGCTGAGTTGCCCTGTCGCCGGCCGCCCGGGCGCCGCAGCGGCTGACCTCGCCGCCCCCTGCATGCTCGGCGCCCGGGTCGCGGCCCACCTGGACGCACTGGGCCCGCTGGCCCCCTACGTGCCGCCACCGCTGCTGCCCTCTATGTTCTACGTGGGCCTGTTCTTCGTCAACGTGCTGGTCCTCTACTACGCCTTCCTCATGGAGTACATCGTCCTCAACGTGGGCCTCGTCTTCCTGCCTGAGGACATGGACCAGGCGCTCGTGGACCTGGGTGTGCTTTCGGACCCGGGCTCGGGTCTCTACGACGCCGACTCGGAGCTGGACGTCTTCGATGGATACTTGGAGTAGGGCCCTGGCTGTCGTCCCCCACGCACCCCTGCCTTGGGCAAGCCGCCCCGGTCATGCCGCTATTCGGGGTCACCCTCTGGCCAGGGATGGGACCCACAAGGTGAGGTCCTCCCGGGCCTCCAGGGCCTGTACAAAGTGCCATGGCTGCGCGAGGTGAGGGCGGGTTGGGACACTGGTGGCTTAGAGGAAGACAGGGCTAGGCCAGATACACAGCCTTCCCCCCAGGTTTCTGAGTTCTTTGCCCTTCTCGTCCAGTTCTGCAGTTACCAGGAATGGCCAGCTCTTCTTAGAACCTCAGTTGGGGTTAAGCTTTCCTAGCATGAATGACAACGGGGAGAGGAGAAGGCTGGGACTAACTGGGGATGGGGTGGGGGCAGCTATGGAAAAAGACTTTGCCCCCAAATCCATTTGAGGTCGATCTGTCAGGTTCTCCCCCCCCCCCCACCTCTGCCCCAGTCTTCAACCGGGCTTGACAGTGACCTTGGCCTTTGGGAGGATAGAGATTTGGGCATCAGAAGAAACAGAGAGCCAGCCTGTGTGGTGTGACCCTTTTGGGGCCGGTGCGGGGTCCGCAGGCGGAAGCAGCAAGAGGAGACAGCTAATCAGCAAAGAACCCGTACTTCCGTTTGGCTGTGCTGTGCGGCTGTTTTTGGAGTCGGGTTTCAGGGTGCCCAGGCTCTGCAGCTCATTCCTGCAGGGGCCGCCAGGTTTGCAGGCTGCCTTCACGGAACGGGCACGCTGGGGGTGGGGCTGGCGCTGGCGTTTTGCGAGGCTTCAAGAAGGGAGCCCTTGGGTCACCAGGAGAATGCCCTGCCCCTGGGCTCTGGACAGTCCCACCCTGTGTGTTAGGAATGGGGTTAGGAAGGCCCAGGTGGAGAAAAGTTTGATTAGTGTCGCACAGCAAGATATAGAGGAAGCTGGCCTGGGAGTGAGAGGAAGAGGGAGGCAGGCTGGTGGGCAGGTGACTTCCAAGTTAGGTTAGGGCTTGGGGGGCAGTGTAGCTCCTTGGCCAAGCCCCTCAGCTGGAAGGTGATGGGCATAGGATCTTGACAGACAGTGAAGCAGGAGGCTCAGGTGGCATTTAGGAGCTTCGTTTGGGAAATGGACACTAATCCCTCTTACCCTGAGGAGGACGAGTTTACTCCTCTCCTCTGTCGCCTGCCTTTGCCAAGATGCCCATGGTAGGTAGTGAGAACTTAGTGAAGGACCAAGTGCCAGGTAGAATGGCAGATGCTCTGTATACCTGTTGTCCTGCCTTCTGTCCGTCCATGCATCCAGCTACCCACCCACCCCCTGGTGACTTTATTGAACACAAGTTCAGTGAGTACTTCCTGTGACTGGTGAGTGCGTACAGGACAGACATTCAGTCCCTGCCCTCTTGGCACTTGTTGAGGAAGACAAACAGATCCTCCAGAAAGATAAGCAGAGAATTGTTTACGATCTGATCTGTGACTGCACATCAGGAGACTGGAGCTCCACTAGGACAGGTTACTGCTTCTCCCCTCCATTGTGGTCCCTGCTATTTCCACAGTCCCTAGGAGACCGCCTGGCATCTAGTGTTGTTAGTGTGTTCCCACTCACAACGACCCTGTACAGGGGTTCCAAGGAGCAGCTGGTGAGTTTGAAACCTCTGACCTTGTGGTCAGCAGTTGCCTGCCTAGTCTGAGGTGCATACCAGGACTCTTGGCATCTTGTGATGGTTGTTTGCCACCAATTTAGTTCCAACTCACAGCGATCCTGTATTGGGTTTCTGAGGCAGTAAATCTTTACAGGAGCAGAAAGCTTCATGTTTCTCCCACAGTGCAGCTGGTAGATTTGTACTGCTGACTTTCCACTTAGTAGCCCAATGCATTAACTACTACGCCATCAGGGCACCTTTGGCATCTAGTAGGTGTTTGATAAATGTGTGTACATGACTGAAACAGAAGGGTAGAAATGAGTTGCTTCAGACTGGGGGTCCAGGAGTCTCTCAGAGGAGGTGGCACTTTGGAACTGAACCCTAAATTCATAGGCAGAACCAGACATGAAGACTTAGGCAGCAGGAACCTTGGGGACCAAGACACTGGGGTGGACTGGAGACAGCACCAGGGCCTGGGGCCGAACCAAGAGCAGAGCAGTGAGAAGCCCTCAGGAGCCTTCAGCAGAACCTGGCACCATCTTGTTCATCTTTCTCCAGGATGCATGGCTGTGGGCAGAGTGAATTGTTTTAGAGGCTGTTCAGTTGTTCCAGAAGGAGGTGACAGGCGTGGGTAAGAGAAAGGTTAGTGAAAATGGAGAACAGTGGACAGATCAAGGACACCTTTTGGAGGTCGGACCTATAGGATCCCTTCAGAACCTCTCCTGAGAACTGACTGGATACCACACCAGGTCTTAGGCCCTGGGCATAGTCTCTCAGTCAGTCAACAAATGTTGGGCCTGCCTTGTCTTCTGCGAAGGCCTGTGATCCCCAGCTGAATCCCTGCCCCCAAGCCGGGTGCTTGACTTTCTGAGAGTGTAATTTGGTGAAGAACATCTTATTTTTATCTCTTCATCACATCAACAGTAACACTTCCCCTTCCAAATGAAAACATTGGCATATTCTGGACCCAAAACTAAAGCCCAAATGCTTTGACATACTTTGCAGCAAATACTGTTTGTGCAGAAACACCAGGATGTGCGTCTCAGGGACGCCCTTGCAAAGCTCTCCAAATGACAGGGTCTGGCACTGCAAAGTAGGGGAGCCTGGGGATGGAACCACGAAAAGCATTCCTTTTCCCTGCCCGAAGTCCTCTGGGACCCCAGACCTGAAGGTGAAGGAGAGACTGCTGGGAGCAGAAGCAGACGGGTCAGGGGGAGCTTTCCAGATGTTCTGAGGTTCTTCCACACCTATGGTCACTTTTATGAGCAGAGCGACCCCAGGACGCAGTTCTCAATTGTTCTCGTGTGGGTGCGTGTTGTTCTCAGACCAGTCTAGGAACCACTTGACTTGAAGGACTTAGGAGTAGGATGGAACTCAAATGAAAAGGCGTATCCGCTGTTCCTCCATTTCTCTCTCAGGTCTCGGATGTGTAACCCCACAGGACTGGTCTTCAGACATTTGTTTATTTCCTAATTGTGAAGGCAGTATGAAGGTCCTGGTAAGGAGGCCTGGGTGTGATCACAAAGTCTGTTTGAATTGCAAGATAGGCAGTTCAAACCCACCAGCCACTCCTCGGAAACCCTATCCAGGGTCACTATAAGTCAGAACCTACTCGTTGGCACTTAACAACCTTAGTTTCATATTAAGCAATTGCCTTAGAGTCGGCTCTGACTGATGGCAACCCACGGGTGTCAGAGCACTGCTTTGTTTCACAGGGTTTTCAACGGTGTTTCCAGAAGTGGATTACCAGCCCTTTCTTTTGAGGTACCTTCTGGGTGGACTTGAACTTCTAACCTTTTGGTGAGCAGCTGAACGCACTAACCATTTGTACCAAAACCCATGGCCACTGAGTGAATTCCAACTTCTAGCAACCATATCAGATCAGGTTTTCAAGGCTGAGATCTTTATGGAGAGAGACTATTGTATCTTTCTCCAGTGGAACCAGGTACTTAACCACAGTGCTACCGGGGAGATTCAGAATGTTGCTGTTGTTAAGTGCCGTTGAGTCAGTTCCGACCCATAGCGACCCTGTATAGGGTTTCCGAGGAGTGGCTGATGAGCTTGAACCACCGACCTTGCAGTTCAGACGGCTTTGCAGTCTGGCGCATTAACCCACAGCGCCACACCAGGTCTCCCTCGTTGAGGAACTGTGAGGACTAAATTAGATGTGTGTAAAGCACTTAGACCCTCCTATGTATAGTAAGTGATGGATTTGAATATTAACCACTGTTGTTATTATTAGCAGACAGACATGTGGCAAGTGTGCAGGCTCGGCCCCATGAACGCTCTACATGTGTATGAATATTTACAGCAGCGCTGGCTACCACGTGCTGCATTGATCCTGGGCTGCATTCCCGCTGGGACCCTCAGGAGGCCTCTCCCCCACTGGCCTGGGAGAAGCCGCAAAGAGCCGAGTGCTGTGGCTTTTCCTCGAGTGTTAATTATCACCCAGGTCCAGGGAGGGGGGACTTGTGGCCTCTTCCCAGAAGGGAGGATGACCTGGGGGCAGAGGTGTAGGCAGCGCCCTGGAATGGTCTGTTCTGGGTCCTAATGAGAGCAGCTGCTGCCCACCAGCCCCCTTAGCACAGAGGGAGGCTAATGGGTCACTTCTATAGATCACGGTGAATAGGGCTAGGATGCAGAAGGGCTGGGAGCTAGGGGTCATCAGACCCTCGGTCTCTCCTGAGTCTTCACCTAGCAGGGTGCCACAGCTGCTCCTCACCCCGCACCCTGATCCCTCCCCATGCCAGTCTGCAACCCTGTGGACAGCAAACACCTAAGCTGGCCTGTGCTGCCCCAGGCAGAGGCACACCCATGGGCCATGGGAAGGTCTCACAGTCAGCCTGGGGGTGGGGGAATGGGTTGTGTTGGATGCAAGGAAGCCAGACAGTGCTGGGAGGCACATCAGTGCTGGCTGCCCCTCTGGACAGGAGACTCCAGTATGGGTCTCAAGATAGTGAGCTGCCAGGGCCCTCTCCCTTGGCTCCAAATTTCAATAAAAGGCAGGTCCTACAGCGACCCCACATCACCCTGACCTTACACTGTCATGTCTCCAGTCTGGAGCACTGATGTTGCTGACAGCTGGGGAGAGTAGAGTATGAGTCTGCCATTTGGGAGAATGTCTCAGATTGGCTTGGACTGAAGTTCATGTCCCAGTGAGACTCACTCAGGGGGTACGCTTTCGGCAGGAGACAGACCCATGGGAGTGAGCATGTCCTCAGAGTGTCGCACCGGAGGCACCAGTTTGTGCCCATCACTTGGCTAAGGTGGTCTCCACCACTACGTTCCTGTCTGTTCCCCTTGAGAGATTATCCTCTGCGATCGACTTGTTGGAGCCTCATTGTTTAGATAATCTCCTGGTCGTGTGGATTTAGTTTTAAAA